TATTTGCAAGAATTTATAGGGGGAAAAACAGATCAATTACAATCTTCCGTTATATACCCGAAAAAGGTATTGTGTACATACAAAAATTGTACATAGGTACTTTTATCAAAACCATGATTGTGCTGTATCGAAACACAATAATAATACACTGAACAGCCGACAACCGCTATTTCGGTTGATGTAGTCAGATATACTATTGCCACTTGCTATGGTGAAAAAGGAAGAGGGGGGTGGGGTGAGGGAGGGRGRCGTGTTAGAGGCCAAATTAAATATTGGTGGAAAGAAAAGTAATTATTGTGAGTATTTCCCCCAAATATAACGTGGAAATTCAAGAATATATAAAGAATTTTTTTTACATTATTTCTCTCTCATACACACTAAGCTGACACCATCACGCTCATGAGAAAAAAAAATGATTTTAGTTAATTTTTGAGCTTTGTATATATACAAATTGTTTGCATGTCCTCTTAATGATATTCTTGACGTTATTGCGCCCGTGAGCCAAACTCATTTTTTGGGCGGAATATTTTATGACATCAAAGAGTGTGTCAATAAGAAAACATAGAACTCATAACCGTGCGCAATTCGTTGAATAGAAATTAGAAGGCATACGTGTCAATTCGCTGTCCCGACGTATCAAAAGACAAAAGTTATCGGTAATCGAAATGAATGATAATTTGATGATGACGTAATTATGTGACAGGTGCTGACGATAAAGTCGTTAAAATCCGACAGCTTCAGATTAGGAAAATCATAGATGTTTCAATGTTTTCATACAAGAGGTTTTTAAAAAAATCAAGCGTTTTTTTTTTCTTGCTGTGTCTAGTACAGGTAGGTGTGGCAAGTTCTATAAGTGCTATTATTTTCTATTGGCAGAAAAACGCTCTTCATTCTTTGCAGGATAATTATATAAAATCCCACAATGTGATTGCCCTGGAGAAATTCTTTACTTAAGATAATTATAATCAAGTTAATCATAATCGTAATTTGCACCATAACCAGCACTCTCTGCCTGATTCAGGCTCGCTACCCCAGGAGAGCAATAACACAAAAGAGATATACCAGAGAACTTATAATTTTAAGCCATCATCCCATTCTTTATTTAAAAGGAAAATCTCCCAATTGTTCTTATAGACATCATATATCTTGATAGGATGCATCGAGAGATCTCTTGTTGGTGAGAATCGTCTAATCATTCCTAACAGTGCCTATACAGCCTCTTCGTTCTTATATGACAGTAGGCAGCGTAGAGATCAAGTGACTGGAAAACTATACTGGGACAGGCGATACGTACCACACGGTGCAAGGCTTTACAGCCCATTTGGATGGTCACCACGTTATAATCATAACCCTGAGGATTACTTACAGCTGGACCTTGGTGCTGTACGAGCCATCACTGCTGTAGCAACACAAGGAAATGGGAAATCTACATTAAATGAATGGACAAAAACATTTAAACTTCGATTTAAACAAGACACAAATTCAACTAAATGGATTGAATATGGAGACATCTTACAAAATTGTTACATGGTAACAGCATTGTTATTATTCTATAGTCATATAGATTCATTTCCGCACTGAGTTCAACTAAGTCAATTTTTA